GGTTGATGTTAATAAAATAGTTACGCTACCTTGGTAAAAAAAGACTGTACAGTGTTTGAAAGATTACTATCAAATTACAGGAACCCCACTGATTACATTTACGAAATATAAAAGAGTAGATGATTGTAAATTATGTACATTACAATGCTTGGTTATATCGAGAGTATAAATTTATACGCATCGCAAGTGAAGTCTGAAATGCAAGACATTGTATCAACGATTATATATATATATATATATATATATATATATATATATATATATATATATATGTGTGTGTGTATGTATATGTGTAACACTTTTAATTATTAGTATATAATACTCTACACGCAAATATATTCATATCAATTTGGATCAATAATCAAACTATAAACATAAATTTATAATCTAGCCACACAATGTAAGTAAATTTTATAGCAACTATAGATGATAAATATTAAAAAAAAAACCTTCGTGTGTGTGTATATATTTCATTGCATTACAGATTTCACTTATAATGTATACTCGTAAAATGATTTGTATCACGTTTTTATCGAAGTTGTAACGTTTTAAGTTATCACAATTTAGAGCCACTATTAATGTACATACGCAGTAATCATTTACGACAGGAGCTGATTATAACAAAAAATTAATACAAAAAGACTATATATATTTTAAAGTGATATTATCCTGTGTTAAGTAATTTTTATATATTTTATCAAGTAAGATAATGTGAAAATGTGCTGAATGCATGTTAACAATGACTCGCAATTATAGTAACGCTGCAACTTCACTTGACAAAAAGTGTGCAAACCATTTTATAGCCGAGCACATGCATATGTATCAAATAGATAAATTTCATTTATACAAACTAGTAGATCGTATGAGAGACGTCGAGCAAATTGCACTACATCTTTAATGATTCCGTGTATTTTTAAAATTGAACATACATCTTTTGCTTTTACCCTCCCAAATGTCATACATCATAATGTACCTTGACATAAATTAGTTTTTGTTACAAATCTACAGGAATACATTTTCGATCTTCTTCGTAATACTGACTAACTTTACGAATACACTAATCGACATCAAGTGTGATGTAAGAGATGTACTGCAATTTATGTATCGATATTTACATCTTGATCAATGTACATTTCCAATATAAGCGTCTATGATGAGTGGATTTGACAGGTAGATTGACTAATTTTGAATATTACAAGATCACAACAAGTGCTGAAAATAAGGTATTTTACAGTGGCCGTTTCTTTTCTCTTCTATTAAATAGTTGAGATATATTGCGCGAAGTTCTTGGAGTAAAATATTCTATAGATGCGTATCTCTTGTCTACGCGTTATTTTTGCAGGTTTCACTCTTTCAGTTAAAAATGGAAGAACTAGTGTTAGACGAATTCAAATTCGGGGCGGCTCGAGCGCAACTTACGCACGCGATAATGCGCCGCATGCTCTCGGCCTCTGACAGCAACAGAGACTACGTAATCTTGCCGCAGGGCCCGCCGGCTCTTCCGATCACCGTTCCTCGACGCCTTCGCTACCGCTAGTTTCTTGCTGTGGTCTTGCAATCTGGTACGTGATGAGATACTCAGGATATGCTTGTTCGCCTCTGTAGACGACATATTCGGGAAATACCAAGCCACCCTGCGACGGCTTGCCCATTACACTATGGTGCCCGGGAGGTGCGTGTGCCATTTTCATCGCTGAGAATTGTAGGAACGATTTGCCGAGCGTAACTCTACATAGTAGCAAATGCCTAAAAATTTGAATACGTATAATAGTATATCGGTAGCATTATTGGAAAAGAGAAGAGAAAATGATAAGTAATAAAGGTATGAGCGCGTTAATAGATCTTGTCCAATCTCAACGATAACATTTGCTGAATTATCGCGTGATTTTTTGGATTTTTACTATGTTATCGTACTTCTCATGAATATTAGATACTTGCAATATTTTTACTATTGACGCGAATTTTCTTGTATTCACCTGTGACAAATGTAACAGCTCCTGTCTTTATGTGCGGGACACCCGGTGCCACCGCATATACCATAGACATATTGATTGCTCTTGCTACTGTGTTCCGCGAAATATATACCAGCGCCGAACATGCCACCGATGTATGCGTGTCGTTCATCGAAGCCCTTCTGTACGATAGCATTGATGAACGGACTACCGTGAAACAGCATTCTCTCGTTCGCTTGCGGCACTGCCGAGCTTGGTGTGTTCCTGAGTCCTGTACTGGGAGAAGCTGGAGCGGCAGCGCCGACTTCCTCAGCTACTTCCTGTCTCCTGTGAGCGTAACGTTCCCACAACTTGCGGTTCTGAACTTTTTGTATCTACAAAAAACAATTGACACTCTGTTTTATAATTGAATAAATTACGAATATAAATCGAGAGAAAGAGAGGCAGGGAATTGAGGAACGTGACGCAACAACCTCGCGGGAGAAAAGCTACAACTATAGTGTTTTCCAGGAAGGAAGGAAAGAAAATTGTTGAGAGAGTGTGTGACTCAATTATGTAGTATCTTATTTAAGTTACGTACTCTGACTATGTTGTATCGAGAGAAGATACCGCCAGAATGGCCGTTATCTCTGTGTTGTCTGATGGTACTCTGCATTTCCTCCTCAACGGCTAGAAATTCCTTATCCTCGGCTAGTAAATCCACCAGCAATGTGCCAGGATTTATAGACGGCTGCCAAAGAGAGCCCGCTGCCGTGTTCAATAGCTTGTCCATACCTTTGATCAATTTGTGTCGGTAACCATAAGCTGATACTCCGACTTGTTTTAAATCTTCGTGACCCATTTCTGCCAGTATATCTAATGTAATTTGTTCGCGTTCGAACAATTCGAGCAAGTGTTCCAGACCGAGACTTTGCAAGAAGCCGGCGACAGTGGTGATGGAACTGTTATGTTCCTTACACAGTTCCTTAGATTCTTTCTCGAGGCACGGCTCACTCGGCGGCATCGGACTTAGACACGATGTCGGTCGTGCCAATGGCACACACAGAATCATAGCTGCGCCGGACGGCATGATGACTGTTTCTTGAGTGAGAGGCGGTGGTGGTGTGACCGGAACTACACGTAATTATATTAAAAATAAAATAATATACAACAATGCTGGGCAACAATTATATGAGTATGTAGAACATGTGAATACACGCATTACCAAATCTATCTACACATTATCACATTATCTATGCTATTTTACACAAAAGAATACACAAGTTCGAGAAAATCTTTTTCTTACCAGATACGATACTGGGCGGTCTACTGGTGACAGAACTGCCGCCAGTACTGCTGACCATGTTACCGGAAGGTACCGAAGGGACGACCTGTTGAGAAGCCATTGCGTCTTGCAATAAACACCTTACATCGTCTGCACTGGCTAGATCCACCGGACTCTGCCCTTCCTGATTTTTTAGGAAAGGGTCGGCACCATGCGCGAGCAGAAGGGCACATAGCTGCGTTCTACCTTTCTGCGCGGCTTCGTGAAGTGGTGTAAATCCCCATTTGTCAGTTGCATTCACTACAGTATTGTATTTAATAAGCAAGGCTGCAATGTCCAAGTGACCATAACTCGACGCGTTATGCAAAGGGATAAGACCGCCTTTGTCTTGTGCATTTACATCTGCTCCGCGTTCGAGTAAGAATTCAGCTACTTCCAGGTTATTGTATCCCGCTATATTAAGAAGAAGAGCAAGAAAATTCATGTATATAAATATGAAATATTCATTTCATATCAATTTACAAAATCTCTTTCTCTCTCTCTCTCTCTATTTATATGTATCTTAATCTATCTATATGCATTTATATTATCTTGAATATTAATATTATCAAACTAACAAAAGTATTGCCTTGATTAGAGAGAAAGAGGACAAAAAAAGAAATTATATTTAAGCATATTACTAAAAGACAAACAGCATCAATAATCACGTATTCGCACAAAAAGAGATAGTTACCAGCTAAGTGTAATGGAGTACTGTTACGACCTTGCGCATCCCGGCAATTAATGTTGTCTTGTGTAACTAATCTCTGAACTCGAGCCAAGTTTCCTTTCTTTGCGGCGTCAAGAAGAGCGCTATTTCCACGCAACAAATCCGCTACGTCCTGGTCACCATCTCTCACCAAATCTAACGGCGTTGCGCCATCTCGATTCTTTTTAGTGGCATCCGCTCCGTGCCTCAAGAGTAATCGAACTATTTCATACTTGCCTTTAGCGGCCGCTTCGTGGAGCGGTGTAAATTTCCATAAATCGGCAACGTTTACCGACGCACCGTGCTTCACTAGTAATTCCGTAACTTCATAATGTCCATAAGAGCAAGCATTGTGAAGAGGAACTAACCCACTGTATCGTTAAAATAAATACACAATTTGCAGTTAAGGCAGTATGTACTCAAGAGAAATTTAATCAAGTCAAGAATAAAAAACAGAAAAAAGAAAAGTTGGATGTCAAAAATTATAACACACACACATACATAAACACGCGCACATACGCAACCATATATACACACACACTATATATTCAGATATATTATCAGAAAATAAAAAAGTAAGCATGTACGCATGTTTGGACATAAAAGTCTTGTACCGATGAAAGTGAGCTTTTGCTTTTTTTATTTTTGTAATTTTGTACTTTTGTAAATTACTAAAGATCCTTTGCAAGAGATGAGAACATATAAAGTAACATGCGAACAATAATACGTCTCTATAATACGTTGTACAATATGTACAATTACGATAAGGTGATAAGTGTATTTCAATTACCCTTTGTCCTTGGCATGCACGTCCGCGCCATGTGCTAACAGATATTCCACAACCGGCACTCTATTGAAACCCGCTGCAAAGTGCAGCGGAGTCGAATGCCTCCCATCCAAATCGCGACAATTCACAGCGTGTGGATTGGCTTGCAAAATTCTCTCTACCGCGGCGAGGTCGCCCGACTTACTCGCTTCCAGCAGTTGCGCTTCTGCGTCGTCGGTGCCGCTAGGCGGATCTGAAGGCATAAACGAAAATTTATTTTCTCTTCGAAAATAAACGTTTAAATAATAATTTAAATAATAATTTAAGTAAATTTAAAATATAAAATAAAAGTTATACCTTGCAATATCTTCAACACGTTTTCGGCGGCGATTTGTGCCGCGGTGTACCCTTGAAGCGACACTATCGAAGGATCGACATTATACAGCAAAAGTATTCGGCAGGCCTGCACGTTATCCTCTCTAACGCACCTAGTAAGCACGTGATTATAATTGACAAATTATACGTTAAAAGCATTTAAACTGAATATTACTTAGTTCTTTACGCAGCGAAGAACGAAACGAGTGACTTTAGGATAGAGATACCTATGCAGTGCAGTCTGGCCTAAGCCGTCTAGCGAGTTGACTTTCGCATTATGTCTAAGTAATATGTCCATCGCATCGTAATGCGAATGATCGGTCGCTACGTGAAGCGGTGTAAGGAAGTCCTTGTTCTTCTCGTTCATGGCAGCATTCTTTCTGATCAGGGCCTCGATGACTTGCTTCCTTTTCGGATAAGGTGACGCCACTGCGCAATGCAACGGTGTATCCCCGGTGTAAGGATGTTTGAAGTTGACGACTTCTTGGGACAGATATTTCTTTAACTTGGTAAGATCTGCTTGCCTGCAGGCGTCCAATAGGCAGTGGCCTTTATATTCGTCTATAATACGTACGCATGCATTAGCGAGTATATACTTAATGCTACGACTGATAGGAATGAAGCCGGGTGGATAAACATTTTAAAACTCACAGGCAAGTCTTTCTTGCAATTCGAGCGTCGGTGCTACGTCGATGGCGCTTTTACTATGGCAGTTCAATTGCATCGGATCTGCGCCTTCGCTTAACAACAAAGAACAAACTTCCGCTCTAGATTTACTCGCAGCCTCATGCAGCGGAGTAAACGTCCAAAGATCACTGGCGTTAACGGCGGCACCGTGTTTCAGAAGAGCCTCGGTCACTTCGAAATGGCCATACGAACAGGCATTGTGAAGTGGTACGAGACCTCTGCAAAAATGTTGAAGCCGATTAGATGTCGCTTCTTTCAGGATTTCGATACGTGTGCACATAAGTCTTGTATTATGGGCGGTTACATCTTTTATTATATATCGCCAAAGATGAAATTCTCAAGATGCGAGCGTTTTCATTGAGATCTAATTGAAGTCTTTATCAGTTGGAGATTTTCACATATACGAACCCTTTGTCCTTTGCATGTACGTCCGCGCCGTTTTGAAGAAGAATCTGTACAACTCTGGATCTGTTATATCCAGCCGCTAGATGCAAAGGTGTAGATCTCCTGCCGTCACTAGCGTGACAATTGACATTCAGGGGATTCAACAGTTGCAATAGTCGTTCCTCGTTTCCGGATCGAGCAGCTTCTAAGAGCTCATCTTTTCTATACTCTCCGGTTAGAACCGGCTTAGTGGCGGGATCAGCCAATTCTAACGCAGTCTTTCCTTCTGTATTCCTAATGTTTACGTCTGCTCCGTGCTGTAGCAGAGCAATACATACGTCTATTTTACCCTGTCAAGTATAATGAAGGTGCAAAAGTTAGATATCATTTCCATCTTCAACAGTTTTGGTGTATATATATATCGGTAGCACAGAGTCACATAAATAAATGCTCCATGTTTTACTATGAAACAAGCACCTTGATGGCTGCTTCATGCAAAGGTGTGTAATTCCAATTATCCCTCGTGTTTGGGCTTGCTCCTGCTTCCAAGAGTAATCTCACGACGTCAGAATGTCCAAATGAACATGCATTGTGCAGTGGATGTAGACCACCATCGTCACGTGCCTGAATTGATGCGCCAGCAGATAAGAGAAATTCAACAACTTCCTTTCTACCATATCCTGCAAGATTAATATCATGTTATCAATGTCCTCTTCATAACTATGCATAAAGAAATAATTTTTTCTTTATTCAATACATTTTGATACTTGTTGTGATCTTGTGTCTACATCAATACCAAATTGTCAATACATGTAATATATATGTACATAACTGTATGGCTTTCCATACAAATACACAATTGTTCTACAATTACCACTTTATTAATAAATGTATAATATGGAGAATTGTGTCTCTGTCAAATTGCTCAATTAAACACATTTTTAATATATTTTTATAAAATCTTAAACTCTAAACATTATATACACACAATTAACATATCTCTTGCTTTATTTATTAAGAGACAAAACTCACTTAACAAAAATTGTTCTTGTACAAGAATTTTTTTAATAGAAATAATACACAAACAGCATAATGTTAAGGATCTAGACACACAGAAAAACTTGAGCAGAAAAACACACAGAAAACTTGTAAGCAAATTGACCAATAATAGTCGCTGATTCTTGGACCGTAAGAAGAATCATCGACTGTGATTGGTCAATTTGTTTACTGCCTAAGTTTCTCTGTGTGTCCAGGCCCTAAATCTCAATAAGTAAAGATATATACAAATGACTACACTCGACACACTTGATTCCCACTAGGTCTTTAATTGTTTTCTTGGACAAATGTCCAGACAAGCTCTTTGCCAAGGTATTTTTTTTTAAATAACAATTATCCAACACACCAACGACAAAGCATTATTACTAATGATTGAATCAGCTGATGACCTCATTGACACAATCAGCTTATCAAGCTCGGATGCAATCAGCTGTAAAGAAGGCGTTTGCTGACTCACTTCCATCTGATCTGTAGCTATCGAGCTCACGTGCTTACTCTGAGAGAGCTCTCGTGAGAGCGAGCTGGAAATAATGTTCGGCAGCAGAATATCGTGCCATGAACGGCAATGCATTCGAAAGTATAGGAATTGAAGAAGGAAGGTCTAGGAAGAGGGGGAGGTTCTCTCGAGCTCAAGTTGAACTCACCAGCTGCAAAGTGCAGAGGGGTAGACTTCCGTCCAGCGGTGTCGCGGGCGTTGACTGTCTTCGGGGTGACCAATGCCTTTACCTTGGCGAGATCGCCGGTCTTGCAAGCTTCGAAGAGTTCACGGAGCGGATCGCCACCGCCGCCACCGCCGCCACCACCACCACCACCACCAACGCCGCCGCCGCCACCGCCGCCGCCACCACAACCACCGCTGCCGCTGCCACTGCCACCGCCGCCGCCGCCGCCGCCCGTACCTGTGCCTGTGCCCGGCAGCGAGTCTGCGTTCGCCAATGTCGACCTGCGTCCTGCCATTTTTTTCACATCGCCATTTTCACGCCGTCGCGTTATCCAACGATAAAGATTCCGACGTATTTAGAGTAAACATACACATTTCACACGTAGCCAGCGCACAACGAGTCCAAGCTAGTCGACAACACATACAGATACAGGACGGACGAACGGATGTACGGACGGAAGAATGGGTTGCTAGGGAAGATTGGCTACAGTGGCGACATTATGCGTCTTGGGAGAGAAACTTAGAGACAAAGAAGGTAACAAATATGTACAACGGTCGGTAAAGAAGCCGTCGGTCAGTTTGGTTCGATGATAATTTCGTTATTATCGATAAAGACTAGAAATAATCGAGACGTTATCGACAAGAAATATGTTCATTTATAGAGAAATCCAAGAGCGATCATATGTAGCCATAACGGCCAACACAATTGGTTTATTTTAAAGCGTCTTGTATGTATATTACACATAATTACTGCTTATCTATATGTCATTTTTTTTACGAATACTTTATTTATTATATTCTGGCAGTGACCAGCGTCGATGGTTACACGATGACGCAACTACAGTAATATTATAATAATGTTAAATACTAAAGGAGTGTGTGTGTGTTTAGTTATGAAAAGATATATTTTGTTTCCATGTAAAACATCTGTTTTATATTAAATGTTTATCATGAATTTACATTGCAGATCATGTAGATATAATATATAAAAGTATTCAATCGTATATGTAATTATGTTGACATTACACATGCTCGTGTTCATGTTCATGCTCATGTTCACCATGGTTTTTTTCTTTATGTGCTGCTTTCATGAGACAGACAAGTAGAGAAAAGCCTTTTTCACATTCCACATCACTGATATTTTTCACTAAAATATGAACAAATATAATTAAAAATATGTTAAGCATAAAATTTTTGCGTTGTACATGTACTATGTATCAAAATATATCACATATGGTGAATTTTTACAATGAAAATATTTCTCACTCACCTTCTCTCATGCAGTCACGTGCCATCTTGTGTACTTTACCTACGTTTGGATTATTAGCCATCTGTCTATTTATTTGTTCATGAACTTTACCCTCCTTAATGTCCGATCCTACCATCTGACACAATCGAGAAGAAAATAGAAATGGGAGGAGATAGTGGAATATTGACTTGTTTGAATCGTTCTTTGAACAATTTTGAACTTTCTACATATAAAATTACACTCTGTGTATAAAAGCTTACCAAACCCTCCTTTTTCATAATACACTCGAAAACGCAACCGTTTTTCCTTTTCCTCTCTTCATTTCCGGCCTGCTTATATTCTTCATTTATTATGTTAGGCTCTGTATACAAGTCCTCTGGGAAATAAATAATAGTATAACAAGAGAATCACGCGATTTGTTCTACAATTTAATTTACAGAGAGTACACAAATATTCGCAAATCCTTTACTTTGAACAATTGATATCTTCTTGAGGAAGATGCTATGAGATTTTCATTGGCAATTAATCGACTGCAAAGTTAGTTTTTAAAAAATTCATAATGACAGAATGTGGAGAAAACTAGAAACTGTCCCAAACAGCATGAATCTCCACAGGACATCTTTTAAAGATGTTCTGAGAACGTCCCCAAGACATCCTCTGGAGATTTTGTTTTGCTTCAAGTATGACGATAGCTTACCTTGAGTAATATCATTTTCCTCCAAGCAGTTGTCAAAATTACTTTCGAGAGAAAGCGCCTGTTTCAATCGCTGTCCTGTAGTTTCAGCTGAGCTGAAACACTGACATACGCAGTTTCATTTTGTATTATGATATGTATATTACAATTTGTTATAAACAGAAGAGTAAGAAATACTTACAACAAGTGCTAAAACACAGGCACAAAATGCAAGAACTTTCATCTCGCTAAGATTATTCTTCTGTTGTTAGATTTGAGTACAATCTTACAGAATTCTAGTTATTCGAAGACACATCGTATTTATACCCGCTGCAAATATAAAATGTATAGGTTAAAGATGCAAGATCGCAGGTCATACAAATATTACGTAGAGCATATAATGAATAATGACAAGCCGATATCATGTCGCATATTTTCTTGGGAAGTTATGTCAAGGAATAGCGCAGGGTCTCTCTCTCTCTCTCTCTCTCTCTCTCTCTCTCTTTTTCTCTCTCTTTTTCTTTCGTTTGTTACTCTGCCTCACTAGAAATTATTTCGAGGTTTGACACGTGTTTTGAGAGTAATATAGATTTAATTTATTTTTTAGGAATAATTTCATTTCATTTATTTTACGAGCTGTCCCACATAGCACAAAAGTCAACGTTATTATTGTTAGAATGTTGCCAGAATATTTGCAGTAAGTTATATTTTATTGAATGTCAATGTAATGTTATATTAATGTCCGATATTATAGAGTAGCAATGTTAATATTACTAAAATATTGGGGTAACGTAGCAAAATAGTTACATTTTTGTAATAGCAATATCATATTGCAGTAATACCAAATGCATGTATGAAAATTTAACGTAAAAGCAACATGTTGTACTATATTGATGTAACATTGCTTGCTAAGATTGTATTGATTTTGAATGCATATATAAATATAATATTTTTATATAATGAAATTTATATCATGCACATATTATTTGAGGATGCGCAGAGAAGACACATACGAAGATCGAAGTATGCACAACAAATATATATAATAAAATAAATATATATATAATTACAACATTTGTTCATACTGACTAAATATTTATCCATATAGCACGTAATATTACTGTGATATACAGGGTGAATATTATATACCGGAACACCTGAATATCTCGAAAACAAAGCGTTGTATAAAAAAATGTTAAATACAAAAGTTGTAGGGTTTAAAAAGATCTATTTTATGATATTAGCAGTTTGACCTTGAGTTGCGTCATAAAGATCAGGTCAAGGTCACAATGATGTTTTTAAATGGATACCCCCATTTTTTATTGTATATTCTTGTAGCTTATCTC